ATATAAATTCAAAATTATTATTACAATGATACATATATAAATTCAAAATTAATAAATACGATTTTTATTTAATGATATGTTATACGTAACAACATAATTAATATTTGCAACATGTATATTGTACATATTACACAAATAATAATTTATTAGGATGTTCAGTAACGATAACGATCTTTCAGGCAGGTTCGATAGTCGAAATGAAAAATAATCAGTGTTCAAACGTCAACAAAGAAATAAAAATTGCGAAATTATTTTTTTCATAAAAAAAATCGAGATCACCTTTTTTCAACGTAACATGGTAGACAATGTAACATTGAAGCAAAACAACTTGTTGAGAAAAACATGTTTAATGTAACAAAAATCTCTGATACTTAATAATTTTGTTTCACTATTGCATAGTATAATAATTTCAAGACATGTTATTAATATTTTTACTTATACTTATAAATTAATAATTATTAATATTAATATAATATAATTATTTATTTATTATTTATTTATTATTCGCTATTAATATAATATTCACATTTATTATTCACATTTATTATAAAATATAATATAATTATTATATAATAATTATAATATAATATAATATAATTATTATATAATCACATATATATATAATATAATTATTAATTTATTATTTAATTATTATTCACTACTGACGGCGACACCTATTGTGCAGTGCATCGTGCTGCATCGTGCTGCATCGATCAGCCACTGCACAAGTGCTATTCTGGCGATAAGATTCTTCCTACACAGACAGTCAGTCGCTAGAATCGTGCCGGGGAATACGCGGAGAAGGTATTTACTACGCGCTGCTTCAATCGACTTATTTACCCGGTATAATACATTGAGCTTCGTTCAAACGAGATGTTAATTTATTACTCGTGACTCGTGTTACTGTTTTCTTACACCATTCACGTTACATTCGTGCAATTCATTGCGAGAGTATATTTCAACATTGTTTCACACCGCTCCATTCCGCTCGGAAGATGCTACTACAGTAGTGTTCCCGAAACAATGGCAAAATAGTGACTTCCTGTCTCCCGGTGTCAAAACGTAAGCAAGTATTTTGTTTATCATATGAAGAAAATACTCGTGTGACGTGCATATGTATACAGTGATTCGTCGACATCAACTTCTTCGCGTTTTCTGATCTATTTCTCGTCGACCTTGAAGACCATAATTTTTTACGAACGGATTTGATACGCGTGATGTAATGTCTGTAGCTTGTTACTTTCGTGTCTGTGAGATTTCCTCGTATAACAGACGTGTACTTTGTGAAAGATTGTTTAACATATACATTGTTAAAATTGTATATTTCATTTTTCTATTATAATAAATAACATGAATAATTAATTTTTAATTATTAATGTAATTTATACACGTAATTCTTTTGGCGAATTGATGGAATTTTAATGTCGCGTACGAAGTACTAGTATTTTACAAAATAACATCACATATTTAATTTTCTCATTGTAATAGATATCGTAAATTTCAATGTCATGTACCAGAGATGTATATTTAATAGAAGATAATTTAATACACACAGGTGATGCATTAAAATCGTACATATTTTTCCATTGCAATAAATATTCAAATGAGAAAGTTCCTCTCATCTCAAGCGATATTACGCGAAAGATACGAGCAATATCAAACAAATATTTTTTCGCGATGAAATTGTACTTACTCTATCAGAATTTATCATATTACTAAACTACTAACAAACACTTACAATTTTCAATATTTATCACGATAAGTAATCATTAATTTGGATGACAACTCAAATAATCTAATTACTGTAGGTTAATACTTGTAGCAAATTATTCAGATCCACATTAGATATATCACGATTGCGACTCAGATGACATAATCAATAACAGATTAATTGATAACTTTATCTTATTATGTAAGACGTTGCAACGAAAAGCAACGTAATTTTACTTCTTATGTTTAATTTCATTTGGAAATTAATTTCTGTTAACAAGTACTCTAAGAACATTGCCAATATATATAATTCCTACGATTTTAAATTAACAATGTCTACGATTTAGATTAAATTAATTACAATATAATAAAACTAACTTTAATAATAATATCTCGGGGAAACTTAAAACAATTGCATTGACTTGATAATAATTTAATAATTTAACGATTGAATTAAATTCATGTAAATTCATTTAAATCATCAATTAAATTCAGATTCATTTAAATCACATTCAAGACGATGAAATTGATTCAATGATTGAATTGATTTAAATTCATGCTTCGTTTTAGTTAAAAGTTAATTCTCTTTGAAAGATATATAACATATTTATGTAACATCGCAGTCGCGAGTTCGAAATTACGTTCTGAAAATCTACATGTTGCAGAAAGTCAAATCCCAATGAATATTCGTCTTCTTATCGAAGTGTAAACATCAGAGGACGAGAACGACAATGGGAAACTACTTGGAAATTATCTGCGGGATTGTCGCGTTGATCCTCGCGTTCTATTACTACCTTACCTCGACTTTCGATTTTTGGAAAGTTCGAGGTGTGCCTGGACCAAGGCCCCTGCCCATGTTCGGCAACATCAAGGATGTAATGTTGTTAAGAACGTCGATGTGCCACTACTTGAGGCAACTTCACCAGAAATACAAAGACGAACCAATGGTCGGGATGTTCACGAGAAGGACACCTATACTCGTTGTCCAAGATCCTGAGCTTATAAAAGATATTCTGATAAGAGATTTCTCGAAGTTTGCTAACCGAGGGATTCCCGTCCTCGAGAAGGTAAATGAGCAAATTGTAACGTAAACCGTTAACACTTTGCGGTCCGCTGATGATAGTACACGACACGATAGTACTCGTTTCAATATTGCGATTCACCGCGACAGTGATGCCGTTGGACGTTTGACAACATTGCACACCGTCCGACTCGAGTGAAGTAAATTACTTGGGGTAAAGTCAAAAATGTTAAAACATGAGGATAATAGAAAAAAAATGATGAATTTTTATTAACATTAGTCGTTTCGATCAGTCAAACGTACCATTTTAAAAATTTGACTCGTTTGCATTCACTGTTGTTTCTTTTCTTCATTTCAACTCTCGTTGAAAAAGGGTAAAAATATATATATAATTTTTTTTCTTATTATTTAAAAGTTATATTTTTGCATTATTTCCTATATTAAATTGACGATCGGTTGTATTTTTCTCTAAGATCTTTATTTTGTGACCAATACATATATATATATAAAGTGCCGGTACATTTGGTAAAGAAAATAACGAAGACTTTAATTTAAGAAAATAATAAAAGATAAAGAGAATTTGTACGAAACTGTTCAATAACAGGATGTCTCGATTTTCATGCTACAATTAAGAAATGGTAATTCTACATATGAAAAAATAAGCAGAAAATATAAAATAACACCTTTTCGCTTTGTTCTCAAGTTAATCGGATTCGAATATTTTCTCTTTAAATGTTTGAATTAAGGGGGGAAAAATTATACAAAAAGTAAGAATTGAAACATTAAAATCTTTCCCATTCACGGATTAAATTAAAATCTTAAATTAATATTTTAAACATTAAAATGCACCTCAATGATTTCAATGTTTTTGAGTACTTTTGAACAAGTACTTTGAAGACAAGACATAGATGTATGATAAAACACTAGGATTTTCTTACTCTTATTAAATAATAAATAAATGACGGTATTGCAATATCAACAAATTAATTTTTAAAATATTCACAGGTAGAACCACTGTCTGCACATTTATTCAACTTGGAAGCAGAGCGATGGCGTCCATTAAGGACAAGACTCTCGCCGGTATTTACATCCGGCAAGCTGAAAGAAATGTTCCCTTTGATATTGGAATGTTCGAAACATCTGGAACGGTATCTTGACAAATTAGTAGTAAAAGGCGAGCCTATAGAATGCCGCGAATTAACAGCAAAATATACGACAGATGTAATCGGTAGCTGTGCCTTCGGCATCGAAATGAACGCTCTATCCGACGAAGAGAGCGAATTTCGTCGATTGGGCAGAGAAGTATTCGCCGTTTCCTTTAAACAAATTCTAAAACTTCGGCTTACACAGATAGTTCCATGGTTTTACAATCTACTTGGTTCCATATTACCACCAACCGAAATGACAACGTTCCTCACGAAGATAATCGTAGATACGATGAAATACAGAGACGAGAACAACATCACGAGGCCTGACTTTGTCAATATGCTCATGGAACTGAAGAAGCATCCAGACAAATTGGAAAATATTAGTGAGTATTTTACGACTTCCCTTTCGTTAAAATTGATTCTTGGATCCTTGGATCCAATACGTTCGTTATTTTCTGTAACTATCTCAACTCAAATTACAGTCTGTACTTTTTTATATTGTTAGTTTTAGTTATCTTTCACGTTGTTGATAAGTATAACATGTTTTTTGTACTACTTCCCTATTACCAGCTGATTGTGTATTTAAATATAATGAGGAAAATAAGTAAGAAACAATAAACATAAAACGTTTTCGACAAATGAATGTAATCGGTAAAAAATAATTCCGGGCACTGTGTAATTCTTTCTTTAATAATCGTACATGACAAATCTCTACTATAATTAAAAATTGAACAATCCTTACGATACCTATTTTACACGATAAGTAGCTCATTATTATTTAATTATATTTTATAGAATTAACGGATACTTTACTAACGGCTCAGGCGTTTGTCTTTTTCGTTGCTGGATTTGAAACTTCCTCGTCGGCAATGAGCAACGCCCTTTATGAACTAGCCTTAAATCCCGAGGTACAAGACAAGTTGCGGCAGGAAATAAAGAAACATTTTGAAACAAATAACGATGAATTGAAATACGATCAAGTAAAAGATTTGACGTATTTAGATTTAGTATTTCGAGGTACGTAACCTTGCTATTTTATAGGTTTTTATAGTAACTTTGATTGTTTAATTTTAATCCCATTAAGGATCGACATTAAGTTGATGCAGCATTTTATTTTACTTAGCAACACTTTTTGATCAATTTATGTCATCGAATTTCATTTTTTTAATATTTGAACTATGAAAAGAAATTCCCAGAATTTGTAGAATATTTTCTATGAAATTATACTTATGAAATTTAAAGGAATTTATGTATTTACAACACTGTGATGAATCATTATTCGATCCTTCATGGATTAATATACAAAAATAGAATCTTTATACATATATTTATGAATAACACAAATAGTATATTAAAGCAAATATTTCTTCTGCAGAAACATTAAGGAAGTACCCACCCGGACCTCTTATATTAAGAAAATCAGTGAGCAGTTATACTTTTAACAACACGAAAGTTTCTATACCGGAAAAGACATTCGTATGGATACCTTTATACGCGATTCACCATGATCCTGATGTTTATCCAAATCCTGATGCTTTTATTCCTGAACGATTTAACGATGATGCTGTTGCATCAAGACACCCCATGCAATATTTGCCTTTTGGTGATGGACCAAGAAATTGTATTGGTATATTTAACCATCAGATTATCTTATCCTTATCTTTTCTTAAACCTTTGCACTTGGAAGTTGTTTTCTAGTATTTATATTTTCTAGAAGTCCTTACATTTTCTTCTTTTTTTGTGCAACAACTCGATAATTATAGGCACAATTTATTAAATTAAATCGAGGATTATTTGTCTACTGTGTTAAACATTAGATTTTTATCTTTTTTGAGAATCTATTTACATATATACATTTATATTTTGTAATATTTTATTTTGATTATTTTTTATTACTTTTGTAATTTAAAAAAAGGGTAAAAATATTACTTTCCAATATAATTATGTAAAATCAGAGAATATAATAATAAATTCGAGTTGTTAAAAAAAGTTTAGAGTGTCAATATAAATGGTATTCCAAGTGCAAAGGACTTCGAAGATACAATATTAAATTAAAAAAGATATATATTACATATTATATATTTAATATATATACAATATTACAGGGGCTCGATTTGCAGTATATCAATCCAAAGTTGGCCTAATAACAATACTTCGTAATCACAAAGTTGAAGTTTGTGAAAAAACAATGATTCCATATGAAATTAATCCAGGTGCCTTTCTACTAGCGCCTAAAGGGGGAATATATTTAAAACTAACCAAAGTAGAAAGTTAATATTAGATTTTTATTCTCTTAAAATATTTTATATATACTTCTATGCATACTTATTAATTTATGGGGACTCAATCGAGGTAATATCGAATTATGTTTTGTAAATACAAAAATTGATACATTTTCGTTATTTATTGTAAATGACTAATTGAAAAAAGTATCTATAAATTTAATGATATTATATTTTTGTAACAATTACGCGTAATAAATAGAATTTAAACAGATACTAACTAACAATCATGAATTTTTCCATCCTAACTTCTAATAAATTTTGATGAATTGTGTAACTTACGCAAGATTCTAATTACATAGCCAGTCAGCTCATATAATTTATAATTTAATAAATTATAATTCTGGTCAGAAGTAAATAGCAAACAGGAGGTTATTCTATCTGCGAAAATAAATCGAAAGTATAGAATACAATTTTTTTTATAATACCCATTATTTTCGAGAAAATTCAATTTTAAGTACACATCTACCAAGCAAAATCTTATACATTAAACATGTTCAAAGTCGAAGTTCAAATTTTTTTGTATTTTTCAGTTATTTTTGTATGTAGAATAACCTCTAGTATACATAAAATAAGTACTAATAATATAAAATAATGATGGTATATTAAAAAGATATTAATGGTCTCTAGTTATAGAAATAAATTTAACGTTACCGAATCTCGTTAATGGCGTCTATATTTGAATAATGACGTCTATATTTAAACTGCTACCTCTTTCACGTCA